GTGAGGCTTATTATGGGTTCTGTTTTAATAATTTGAACTATTCATTTTATCTGACACTTTATGTATTTTATTCACACAAAAAATTAAGTCGATTAATAGTCGAAATCTATTCAATTTATTGTATTTGCCATAAAAAAATAGACGGTAATCATATTTTTAAAAATATGTCATTTTTTTTTTAAACAAACGCGATAAATTGAATAGGTTACGATTATGGGTTGACCTAATTTTTTGTGTGAGTAAAATACACAAAATATCCAACAAAATAAACGGTTCAAATCATCAAAACGATACTAATGAAAGGCCCCACGAACCTGAGCAACGTCCTCCAGTTCGGATTAAAGACTGGAGGGGAACCACTTCCTTTAAAGTATATGAATATACAATTTTTAACAAATAAAATTATAATTAAAAACAATATTTATACATTTTATTTTGTTGAATTTAAATTTTTTGTCAATATAAATTAAAAAATAGTGATATTATTAATCAATATTAATCCATCCAATAAACATTCAAACCAATTGATAATTAAGGAATATTTATTTTTTTTGGATAATTAAAGTTCATTGCAAAAAGAAACTAACAATACTAAGTTCTGGGGTACAAAGTCCCCATAGCATCATCTAACAGAGATTTAGTAACGCCACTAGGGGAAGAAAGGGAATACATGAAAATCTTTCACCCTCAACAATCCGAGGTTTGTAAGGGCATCCGCACATGTATTAGCTTCTCTACATATATGCTTAAATATTGTTGATCTGAGCTTACATGTATTTGCTTTTCTATAGATATGATTAAAAATTGTTGATCCAAGTTTATCTAAGAGTTACCTGCAATCAAGTATAAGATTATTGAGTTGGTGCTGATCATTGATTTTGTCCAAAAGCATATTCTTCAGAACCAAGGCATCAGTTCCAATTTTTGATTGGTTGAGTTTTCGATCTAAAGCCAGTTTGAGACCATCTTTTAGAGCCCAAATTTCAGCAATTAGACTGAGCACTCTTCCTATGTTATGATAGGAACCAACAATCTAATTACCATGATTTCTATATATGTAATGAATTTTTTTACACATGTCTATGTTGTATCACTAAGGACACGCACACATATACAAGTATTTTGAAAAGATGGTTAAAAATTATTTTTTTGACTTTTTTTGATTTTTTTTGAAAAAATATATATATAATGTGAGAGATGATGTGAATTGGGATGATTTGGGATGATCTAAATAAGTGTACTTTTGACTTTTTATGAAATATGGATTGGGTATGGGTTAGGTTTGAAATGATGTGTTAAAGAGGTGATGTGACTTAAATAAGATGATGTGACTTAAATAGAATAGTGACTTTTTAACTTTTATAGATCATGCCAAACAAGGCCTAAAATGGGTTAAAAGTTGGGAAGTAACTTTTAACCCACTTCCCAAAAGAGATGATAAGGACAACAAATTTGAAATAAGCATAGGGAATGATAAAACAATTAATATGAGAAAATTTAAGGATGTTTACTCTTACCATAGTGGTAGAAACTGCCCCGTTTGATGTACCTGTTAAAACAGATTATAGATTATAACTTAACAGATTATAGATTATGACTTTAATCAGAAGTTATTAATCTGTTTGATATAGTTGTTGGATTATAAATTTAAGTTGATGAGTAGTGTTTGTTAAATAAGCTGTGAAGTAACTTTTTCAATTAATTTTTATTTTTTATTATTCACTACTTGTCTACATTTCTCATAAATAATAATAATAATAATAATAATAATAATAATAATAATAATAATAATCTATAGTCTATTTGAGTCTTTTTCTATTTTTAAAAAAATAAAAATATAAAAATCTGAGATTATAATCGTAAATTAACATGTCAACGACAAAAGTTAATAATCAGAAGTAATGGGTAAACAGCTTTTCAGAATCAACTTTTTTGAGTTAAAATAAGTTATTAGAATTAGAAACTGTTCGAAATAAATTTAACCAAACAGTCTAAAATAATTTTTTCAAAATTAGAAATTATAAGTTAAGTCAAAAAAATTCAAATAAACACCCCCACTATTTTATAGGGAGAGAGATATAGAGAAGACATTGAAAACATCATCTATCTTTTGGACTAAACACATTGGATGTATTTATTTATGGTTGTATCTTATGTAACACATCCCAATAATTAGAGTTTGGTATAAAATTATGGTTTTTTTTTTTTATCTTTAGTGATTTTTTCTTAAAGTTATGTGAATTTTTTGTTTTTCAAGTCTGTTTGTATAGAAAAATCTAAATAAATAAAAAAATTAAAAATAGTCAACTATTCTTTGCTCCTTTTTTTTTTTTTTTTCTTTTTGAACAATTTTCAATTTTATTTTATTTTTTTATCTTTTTGTCCGTCTAATTGAGTAGGGCTTCTTTTTTTTTAAATTACAAAAAAAAAAAATTACAAATATCCAAATAAGTCATGAACAGTAACAAAATAACGATTGTGTCGAATAATCTAATTCCCCAAACAAGTCAAACCAACTCTTTTCACAGTTTCGGGGTGGGTTTGTTAGGTAGCGTCCATCCAGCGGCAATAATAACATACCGACAATAAATCAACGTTTGTTGCTTAAGTTTTCAGATTTAAAATCATCTTTGCGAAACATCGTACATTGAGATTTCAATTTCGTATCAACGTTCTCCTCTTACATTAAAAACAAAATAATAACTAAAGTAAACAACTATTGTTAGTATTATTTACCGTGCATACATATGTAATGTTATTTCTTAGATACTACAAATTAAAAATATATTATTTGTCATCTACCCTTCCTTTAAAATTTAATACAGAATTATGCTCTAATTTGTGTAACTAATTGTTGTTGAACCTCATGAACTAAAAGATAAGTTGAGCTAATTTTGAAGCCAGTTCTCAAATTAATTTGAGGAATTTGGGTTGTGATTTATTAAATTATAAGCTAAAATTATTTTTATTATTTATATTATATTCTCAACGTGTTTCTTCATGTGTAATTGAGTTTCTTTGTAGCGGGCCAAATACGCGTAAATATTTTTTTTAAAATTATTGGATGGGCTGCAAGGTTTGAATCTTTTGCCCGTTCTGATACCGTATTGAATTATTGATCACTAACTCATCTAAAAGTTTAAACTATTAGAGAGGAATAACTTTATTATTTATATTATATTCTCAACAAAATATAACAAGATCATAAATGAATTGTGTTTCAAGAGTTCAGAATAATTTGGGATTGTTTGTTAATTTTGTCATTTTTTTGTTTAAAAAAAAGTAAACAAGTTATCGGTTGATTGTCAAAGAGTCGTCAAAAACTGCCGAAGCTTGCTAGCAACCACCCGATTGCTGAATGTGGACGGTAGGCAGAGGTGGTGACTTAGATAAGTGAAAGTAAAAAATTATTTCGAAAACAACTAAAAATATCTTCTTTTTTTTTAGTTTCCAAGATATTTTAAAATGTTGAAATCAATTCCATTTCTTTTTAAAACAAAAATAATATACCAAACAATTTTTCATTTTTAAATTAGAAAGAGAGAGAGAGAGAGAATAAAAACAAAAAAAGTTATGCTAAGGATCCTAAATAATTTATCAATTTTTCTACCAAACCTCTCACTTGATGTGTGACACACAAACATGTGGGTTTTGTATAGGTTCCACACTCATGTAAGAGGTTTGATAAATTATTTAAAATCTATAACATTTTCCAAACAAAAAAGAAGAAATGAAATCCTTGACAAATGATTAATGAGTTTCAAATCCATTATAACTTTTTAACGGAGTTGGGATGCTGTTGTGCAGTCTGCGCAGCTGTAACTGCTGTGCGGTAAAATAGGCCCATTTTAAGATCTATTTTGATATTCCGAACCATTCATATTTTAGAATACATCAAGCAAAACATGCCTGCAAAAAATTAAGTTAATCGGATATCGTTTACCTATCCATCCACTCACATTTGTATTCATTTTAATACTTTAAATCACAATTATTATTTATTTTTGTAGATACAAATGTGAATGGATGAATAAGTAAACGATATCCGATTAATTTGATTTTTTACAGTCATGTTCTACTTGACATATTCTAAAATATGAACAGTTCAAATTATTAAAATGGACTCCGAAATGAGCCCATTTCGCCGCCCAACAATTACTACTACACGGGCTAGGCAGCAACATCCCAATCTCATGATTAACATATCCCTTTCAAGAATTAATTGGTTACTATAATCAAGATTCATTATGGTTACAAGTTTCAATAATATTGTCAAGAGGATTCATAAAATTGAAAATTAGATACTCCCTCCGTTCCAAAATAATGGTCCATTTTGGAGAATCTAACTTTTTTTGGTAGTACAATTATTGCATTTGAAAAAAGTTGACTTTCCAAAATTATCCTTTTGATAGTACATTTTTTGAGAATATCAATGCATAATTGTACTTTTTATGTTGTTTATTAATTTAAAAGAAGGGTAAAATAGGAAATTTATATTATTTTTGTACTTGATTTTTGAAGAGGGACTAATATTTTGGGACAATGAAAAATGGAATAAGGGACTAATATTTTGAGACGGAGGGAGTATAATTTATATGCATTGATAAAGAAAATGTGTACAATCAAATTTGGCACAAATAGTCATTATTAGCCATATATTGTCCAAGTTCTTTGTTACATGTGCAAACCATATACATGAAATTATAGGAGTCAAATGCACCATGTAAAAATTTTTTAAAAAAAATTTGAACTCAATAAAATATTTACTATTGGAAATATTAGTATTTTTATTTAGGGTTGGTAATGAAGAATAAAATTAGTATTTTATTTTCAAATTTTCTGATGAGATCATAAAATTCCATATTGTTTGACTAATGACAAATATCATGCAATTTAGCCTAATGGGGAGATTGATGCAATTTCTCCACACAAACAGGAGTCATTTTTAATCTTTGTCAAATTCCGGGGAGGCCATTATAATTTGTTTGTAAAAAACTAATAAAATAACAGAAAACTAAAAGCACACTCGTGTTGCTTCCAATTCTGCAGAATTTTGTGATCTATTGACCCAATAACCAAAGAATAGCCATCATCGGGAGAGAGAGAAAGAGAGAGAGAGTGAGAAGGAAACATTTCTAGGGCTCACAAATGGACGCTTCAGCTCAGCCCTACGACACCGTCATGTCAGAGGCGGCGCCGCCTCCCCCTCAATCTGATCCACCGCCGCAGCCTCCTCCGGCCGCTGGGATTGAGCACATCCCCGCCACGCTCAGCCACGGCGGCCGATTCATCCAATACAACATCTTCGGCAACATCTTCGAAGTCACTGCCAAGTACAAACCCCCAATCATGCCCATCGGCAAAGGCGCCTATGGCATCGTCTGGTAATCCTCCTCCTCCTCCCTCTCTCTCTGGTAAAGTTTGCGTTTTTATGTGGTTTCTGTTGGTTTGATTTTGTTTTGGATCAGCTCGGCTTTGAATTCTGAGACGAACGAGCATGTTGCGATTAAGAAGATTGCGAATGCTTTTGATAATAAAATTGATGCGAAGAGAACTCTGCGCGAGATCAAGCTTCTTCGCCACATGGATCATGAAAACGTCAGTGAGTGATAGTTATAATTTGGAAATTTTTTCCGTATCAAATGAGATTTTTGTTTTGTTTTGATCTGGTGTATTGAAATTGATTGATTTACTGAAATTAAGGTCGTAATGGAAGTGAAATTGAAATTGCTAAATGTACTCCCAAGTTGTCAACTGAACAAGAATTGGAAGAGAAAGATGCCATTTTTTTTAATAATCTTGTGACCTCACATCCCACTTTTCTGCATTTATGCATCCCATTGTGTTATGGATGGGACTAGATATTGATGTAGGTTGGGTTGGCTTTTTGGCTAAATTAGCCACAAGCTAAAAAGCCAATAACATAAGATGTCACGTCCAAACCAAAATCATTTTACTTTTCCTCTCACAAAAGCTAAAAAAGCCAACCCAAACAAACTTTTTAGTCGGGGCTAAAATCGCCAAAAGGCCAAAAAGCCAACCCAACTTCCCAAACAAAGCCATTTACTAATTTGATTCTGCTTTGTTCTCTTTTGAACTTGGTTTAATTTATTTTTCTTCTTGAGGAGACCTATACTTGTACGTGGATGGTGTCATTATTTTGAGTAATGCATGTGTAGCTGGAACATGAATGCACAAAAAGGTGCTGGAATTTTATCCATTTCAGTTGGCTTTTGCCCAATTTCCTTATGTTATGACAATAAGTGCTTCTATATTCTCACTTTTTTTTTAATTTTTTATTTTGAACAAGGTATATTCTCACTTCTTAAAAGCAAATTAATTTATGGCAAACTGAATTAAATTTTAATCCCCTTAGTTTGCCAGAGATATGTACGCAATGTTATCTTGTTGTCCAACCAAGTTTTGATGATAAACATTACACGCTATACTCCCTTTGTCACATACCGATGATTTTATTTAGAAAAGCACGTATTTTATTCTCAACTAATGAATTCACGTGTTACCCTTTTAGACTAGTTCTTAAATATCACTCCCATTATTTTGACCTAATTTTTTTTCCTACTTGTCAAAAAAAAGTTCACTTAATTATTTTTCCATGACTATGAGAGAGAGAGAGAGAGAGAGAGGAAAACTTCATGGGATTTATGAAAAAAAGAAAGGGTCAACCTTTGTGTAATGGAGGAACTAATGTGGAGTAAATGAGTTAGATTGGATTTTGAAAACCTACTCAAGTGAACTTGTTGACAAACTTCATGGGATTTATGAAAAAAAGAAAGGGTCAACCTTTGTGTAATGGAGGAACTAGTGTGGAGTAAATGAGTTAGATTGGATTTTGAAAACCTACTCAAGTGAACTTGTTGACAAACTTCACGGGATTTATGAAAAAAAGAAAGGGTCAACCTTTGTGTAATGGAGGAACTAATGTGGAATAAATGAGTTAGATTGGATTTTGAAAACCTACTCAAGTGAATTAGACAAGTTTAGTTCAAGCACATGTAGTTGGCTGCATGAGGGTTTTGTTTTTATTTTAAAGCTGTATCCATTCAAACCAATCTTTCTGTTGAGTCCAAGGTCATCATGCCTTCATCACAACCTCAACTCACATCCTTTTGGCCTACCTCTCGTTCTAGTACCTTCAAGTTGAATCTCATCACTATTTCATAGCAGGAGTGCTGGTTGGTCTATGCTGCTCATCTATTCATTTTGTCTTCAATCAATGCCAATTCTAACTTTCCACAAATGTATATGTTTTCATTCAAATATATATTGGTTATGTCAAATTTTTTGGAATGCGCCCTCACATCATAGGCAATAGAAGTTGGAGGAGTTAATACTAGTATTAGAGGGTAATTTGTGTACAAGATATGTTATATTCTAGAGGAAGTTGCTCAAACTTTAGACACAGTGAACTTTGTCTGGTTCGGGCTAAGATTGTGTCATGTTAAACATTTGACCAGGAAAAAAAGGGAAAATAAAAAATAAAAAAGGCAACTTAACTCCACTCAGCTACTTGGGATTGGTTGCATGGATCAGTTTTTGTCATTCCGCTCTCATAATCCTAGTTAAACAGCAAGATAACATCTTTCTTTATTATCCTAACTCAAGTTAACTTTGGATCCTCATTCCCTAAAATGACACTCAATGTCAATAGTTTCACCCAATGTTGTGAAAGGCGCAGCGAGGTGCAAGCAGTGCGCCTGAAGGGACCCAAGGCGAGGTGCATTTAATGAGTCGCACACCTTGGACGCGACTTGGCCAAGCACTGAAAGGCGCAAGGCGCGAGCCTAAGAGGGCTCTTTTTTTTTTTATAACGATTCTGATCTAACGGCTCTAATCTGTGTTCAAAAGGCTCCAACCACATAGTATTACAACTTATATAATACAACCCAACCTAAATCAGTCGACTCAAATCCCTAATCTATCAAAGAAATCTGTTTCGTCTCTTCCTTTGGGCTCGTCTCTCTCGATTTCGACTTCGATTTCGATTGAGGTAAGTTCTCCTCCTCCTCCTCCTCCTCCTCCTCTTCTTCTTTGTTGGTCGTTGGTTGCTGGTTGTTGGGTATTCGATTCGTTTTTTTTTTTCCCCCCCCCCTTCCTCTTTGTCCTCCTTCGCTGGTTGCTAAGTATTTTTTTTCTCCTTCCCTTCTTCTTCGTTGCATCTTCAAGTTGCTACATATATATATATATATATATTTCTTCTTCATCTTCTTTGCTGGTTGCTCTCTATTTTTTATTTTTTTTTGCTTCTTCAACTCTCTCTCTTCTTCTACTTCTTCTTTGCTCTTTATTTTTTTCTTTTTCTTGCTCCTTCGACTCAATTTCTTGCTCTCTGTTTTTTTTTTTTTTTTTCCTGCTTCTTCTTCTTTGTTACATGGAATAATGCAAAAATGATAATAGCAGCAGTTTGCAAAAATGAGAATAGTAGCCGTCTTCTTTTTCTCCTTCTTCTCCTTTTCATAGGCTTGGTTTGGCAATTGCTTTTTTAGTTGTTTTTTTTTTTTTTTTTTTTTTTTTGCAATTATGTCTTTGTTTTTTTTTATTATTATTGTTATTATTATTTTAAAATTGTCTTAGTACTAGTATGAATCATTAGTCTATGTTAATTTGTCTATTTTTTTACTAAGATTGTGCGCCTTCCTTCAATAAAACCCGCACCTTGCCTTTCACCTAGGCCTCAAGAGACCTTCAGCGCCTTGGTGTGCCTTGAGCTTTTAAAAACATTGGTTTCACCCTTCCAAACTCCACCTGTGCGTGTTTTTTTTTTTTTTTTTTTTTAAATATATATTTTTACATGGTTTCAATGCCAGAGGAAAAAAAAAAAAAAAAAGAAGAAGAAGAAGAAGAAGAAGAGAGAGAGAGAGAGAGTTGCTTTTGGTAGCTGACAGCTAGTGTAACACTTTGTTAGAGCATTTATGAAAAAAGAAAAAAAGGTATCATGGTAAAATAAATTTGTGACCAACAAAGGTAGAGGTTTATATTTGGCCATGTGATAAATAGGACATTAAGGTTCTGTTTGGTTTTGGCTTAAAAAAGACACTTGTGTTTTCAGATAAAAAAGCTGACAATCGGAAAAAAAGAAAAAGTGCTTGAGGATCCAATCAACTCTCCCAATAACAAAAAGCAATTTTTTTAGCATTTACCGAACACATCAATAATTTTATCTTAAAAAAGCGAAAAAAAAAAAAAAAAACAACTAAAAAAGCAATTGCCAAACCAAGCCTATGTAACAATATTTTAGAATGAATAAGAGATGTGGTTCAATTGGTAACAGCAGTATTTCTCTTGGCTAAGAATTAATTTGCTGTGCACAAACTAGCTCAAATATATGTGTCAAGTTCCCAAACTTGAAGAACATAAAAATCTGTTACCATAGTCTACATACACCACGCACTGTTCCCAATTACATGCTTCTTGGCCATAGTCAATTACCCCATAGAATCTTGCTTGAATGTCTCCCTTTGTTACTTTCTACGAGGCCTTTTCTAAGTTGTAATACTTAACATTTCAGAATTTTCCACTTAATAAGCATGATGGTTCCTACTTGTTCAACAAGATTTATTAAGATCTTAAAATTTTCCTATTATAAAAAAAGCGCTTAAAAGTTAGCAGGAGACTCATGGTAGCCCGAAGGTGAGTCAAAAGCATGTAGTTACCTGCACCCTCTAAAACAAGTTTGATATTTAGCCAAGAAAACTTGGTTGTTGGGGGGGTGGAAGCATTTCCGAGTCAAGTTAGAAGTTGAATGTACAGTTCCAAAATTCAAACTCTGGTGGGTTGCTCTCAGTCCAACAATCTGTGAAATATCTACTGCCTTTTTGAATTAGGTTAAGCATCTGTACTTTTGACTCTTGGATTTTTGAGATAATTTAAGAAAGCAAGCTTCACTGTGTATGACCTTTATGCAAAGTTATCATTAATAAGAACATATATTTCCTCTCTGGCAGTTAAGGAGAAGAGAGCAAAAGTGAGGGAAGACATGACAAAGAAGGGAAAGAATGAGAAGTGTATTCTATATACAAAGGAAGAGGACCAAAGACAAGAAATGAACAAAAGATAGAAGATAGTGGAGATGGGGGGAAAAATTACACCAAAGGCCAATTTATACGTTTCATTGAAACCCATTCTACCCTCTTATCATAAAATCGATTTCATTCCTGGAACAACTAAACATAAACATAAACACGGACACGTAACACAACACGGACACGCCGACACAAAAAAATTCAAAAATTATAGGACATTATATGCCAGGGACACACAAAATATATAGTTCTATATATTTATGATATGGCATATATAAGGATAAACAATTATTATATATTATAATTCAAAAGATAAAAGTTTTAAAAGTCTACAGAAGGGGAATAAATATAAATTTACACTGTTTTTCTTTTATTATTGGATCCCAAGTTAATTTATTCAAACCTGTACTGTGTTTCATGTGCTTTTAAGCGATAGACGTGTGTTCCTCAAGTCCTTGAAGCGTATTTGAGTCCATACAATTTTTAAAATATAGGACATGTTTGGATGTATGTTTGACAAGTGTTGAGAAGTATCCAGTGAGTGTCGTGTTGGTGTCCGACACTAGATGTCATATCTTAGAAGTGTTCGTGCTTCTTAGCTCATAAAGAAAATCCAAATACAACATAACTAATTTAAGAACTTTTAATAGGTCTAATTTCTAGCATTAATTGTCATATCAACATCTCTTTGGTCACAATGTTATCAAGGTGCATAATTTCCTCCTATTATGGAGGGATTTGACCTATAAAATTCGACAAAATCTACAATAAGCTTTAGCATCTTATGGTTCTTTTATTACTAGTCATCTCAAGATCAATACTCTTATTATTGATTTATAACCTAAATCAAGAGGAGACCAATCATGATTGGAACTATCTTTAGCTCTTCCTGAGAATTTATTTTTAGCAGTTTTGGAAGTTCATGGATTATGAGAAAGACTTGCTCTAATTTCTAAATTGATGCAACTTGCATAAAGCTTCTTAAGAAAAAGATATTGAACTATGCACCATCTCCCCCAAATCCAAGAGGAGAGGGGGAGGGTGGAAGGAGGCAAGGAACACTTGAGCCAGACGAGAGCAGTTTAGCCAAGGACTAGAGGTGGATTCAAACCAATTAAGTTTTTCTTAACCTTCCCTTTTCTATATCCCCACCCCTCTCTTCCGTCAGCTATGATTATCTTCTCTTTTTTAGTTGTAAAATTTAACTTATTAATACTTGTATAAAAACTGGACCTATTAATCTTCCTTTGTACTTTGTAATTTTTGAAAAGCTAAACCTTAGCAACTTCTATTTTTTTTTTAAATTCTTGAGGCTTTCTGAAATGGACATTAGGCTTTGTCCTTGTTTATTGCCATGCCCATCCTATGTTTGTGTCCTGAATTAAAATTTAGCCAATGTGATCATGTAATGCATGTATCCATGCCTCAATATGAACTTGTTATGCTTCTAGCAAGTACAGGTAGCACGTTGTGATATCCCCGTTGGACTATTTAAATGTTGATTTCCCTTTTAGAGACTCGGTTTCCCTTTTTAGAGACCATTAATATTTAAATGTTACATTCTTGAGTTTGAATAGTTACCCAAGGTAACTAGTGGTAGTAAACTTTGGAGGTAATTGGGCAATCTTTATCTCTTCTCTCTCTCTTTAATTTTTAATTTTTAATATTTTTACTTCTGTTATTCTTTTTTCTTTTCCCTCTTTTCCTTTAGTTGCTGTCCACGAGTGCTGTTTGTGGTTGGTGCTGACATTGTTCTTTTACCTTGTCTAGTTTTTCACAGAAACTGTACATTATGTTTCTTTTACTAGATATCTCATAGATTTAAGCTTTGAGCACTACATTTATTTTTGTCATTATATACCACACCATTAAGATTTTCCTAGTTATAAATCTAAGTAGCTCAACTTCTTAGTTCTCCCGCATCACTAGAATAGGCTGCTACTTTTCTCTCAGATTTTCTTTTTGCCCTGTAGTCTATTTGAACTGTGTTGTCGCAATTTAGATTTCCTGCACCTATATGGATTCTTCATCTCTTAATTCATCACCATTAGTTTCTATATAGAGGTCATGACTTGGTGCAGTGACAAGTTCTATCCGCCCCCAGCCTTGTGGCATGGGTTTGAGTTGCACGAATCAACCACTCCACAATAAAATGTGGGGAAGGCTGCCTACATACTAGCTCTTCCAAACCTTGCTATAACCGGAAACCAACCGGAAACCTTCTGCACTGGATACGATTTTTTTTTGCAGTTTCCATGTGCATATATACCTTCGTTGTAATTACTTGTAAGGTTCATTATCATGATATGATTATTTTGTGTGATCTTTGGGCTTGTAGGAAGAAACAGACGATATAACTTGATGCAAGTCTCTTTGTATTTTATCACCAAGAAGAAGAGGAAGAAGCAAGCTTCTTGTTTACTAATGCCACTAGCCTTTGCCATGCAGGTTGTTGCAATTAGAGATATAATACCACCACCTCAAAGGGAGTCATTTAATGACGTCTACATTGCATATGAGCTTATGGACACTGATCTCCATCAAATTATTCGTTCCAATCAAGCATTGTCAGAGGAGCATTGCCAGGTTCTATTTTCAACATATAGTTCCTTCAGAAGCACTATCTTAGTCCATAAAACACTATTGTTATTTGTTCAATCTTGCTCGAGGCTTGATGTGGTTTGAATTGTGAATTTCTATATGAAATAAACAATTGACCGAGGTTAAACTCAACTATCAGCAGTTTTGTATGCAAATCTTGTTTTGCTAATGTGTTCTCTCCAAGGCCATATTTCTGTAAAGGAGATGACATCATGCTTGATGTACTGCATCACCATCTCTTATGACCTTTCTGTTTCTACAGCAACTTCAGTTTAAACAATATATAAGTCCTGTGTTAAAAAAAAAACAATATATAAATCCAAAAAAGTGTAGTCAGTCTTCTTGAATGCACACGACAAATAATTGTATATGGGAAAGCAGTTTGGTCTCATCACTCTCTAGCTATTTTGTGTATATTCTTCCTTCAACTGCTGTAACATTCTGTTTCTCAAGAGAACATCATGTCTTTTCTTACTATACTTCTGTCTTTTTATTTATTTATTTTTTAACCTGGTCTTTTTAGTGACATGATATCACTTTGAACTGGTGCAGTCATTCTTCTATATTGTGCAAGACAAGCCATGTACATGTGAAATCAAACGGGCTTGTCTTGCCCTGAAAAAACGTCATAGTTCTTTTGCAACTGCTCAAATATTTTGTTATTGCTGCATGGAGGAGAAATTGGACTGCCTTGACACATCTCTTCAACTATTATAGAAACCACTGCTAACTCAACAGTTAGTCAAAATTTATAATAAGCGAAGTAGACTAGTTTTTTTTCTACCCGAGAAAGGCTTTATGTTTTTATCTGTCTAGCATCATTTGCAGGCAAACTTTTATCATATAATGAGTTGGGAAACAGGATCTAGGTAATACTCATATTGTTTTATTTATAACACCTTAAAGGTTTTTAATGAATTCATTTTACTTAAAATTTTGTGTGAGAGTAATCCTCTTAAATCTTGTCTGAGAGTAATAATCTTATTTGTATTATTCATATTGGATTGACTAGCTAAATTTCATGCATGGTAGACCTTTGACTTCAGTAAGATCAAATTTAGGATAAACAATTAACTTGCCAATCACTATGAGCCTACATCAGGGATCAACATTTATCTTTTCGCCTTAGTTATAGGTGGAATGACTGAGCACATTCAGGGTAAGTTTCCATAGTACACGCAGCTTGATGATTTTGTTTTAACTGAGGAAACAGAAGTAGGAGTAAATCTAAGCTGTAAGTTTGGAGAGAAACTATGGAATCAAGGTTAGGATTATGGCTGAATACATGGAATGTAAATTCTCTAAAATGATTGGGGAAACGGAAGTAGGAGCAAATCTAGGCTGTAAGTTTGGAGAGAAACTATGGAATCAAGAAAGTTTAAGGTTCGGATTATGGCTGAATACATGGAATGTAAATTGTCTAAAATGATTGAGAGCAAATGAGAGTCTTAAGACATGATCCCATGTGGTTTTAACTGAAGTGATGGGCCTTGGGTAAGTCGGAATGGTGAAGAAGATTTGTCTAGCATCTTGCAAATGTTTAGGACAAAGCTTTGTTAAGTTGACCATTCTCATGAGTCCTAAAGGTAACATAATTTTATTTCTTTGTCCTGTGTAATTGGATGTTTAACCCTTCTCCTCCTCCTCCTCCTCCTCCTCCTTCCTTGCATATGATATTTTTGTGGTCGATACTTTAAAAGTCATTATATTAGTAAACCTGAATAGCTATTAACCTCTTCAATCTTTTATGCAGTATTTCCTGTATCAGATCCTCCGAGGATTGAAATACATACATTCTGCAAATGTTCTGCATAGAGACTTGAAGCCTAGCAATCTTCTCTTGAATGCCAATTGTGATTTGAAAATATGTGATTTTGGACTAGCTCGTGTCACCTCTGAAACTGATTTCATGACTGAATATGTTGTTACAAGATGGTACAGGGCACCAGAATTGTTGTTAAACTCTTCAGATTATACTGCAGCAATTGACGTGTGGTCAGTGGGTTGCATATTCATGGAATTAATGGATCGGAAACCTTTATTTCCTGGTAGAGATCATGCGCACCAGTTACGTTTGCTTATGGAGGTAATTTTATCCTCAGTTTTTTGTTGTTATTTTTTTTTAAGTGTCTTTTGAGATTCTAAGCTTTTATTAGCTTCTATATTTGTCAGAATTTTTGACCTGTACTAATTTTTTGAACTTGAAACAATTTAGAAGTACACATATTCTTTCCTAAAGCATGTACATGATATTTAGGAAACAAGAGGAAACAGTTAACATTTTTACCCAAAAAAAAAAAATCACTAATATTCTCTGCATTCAAATTTTCTTCTGGAGGCTTTGGAGACTGGTTGTTCTATTTTAAATTGTGTGCTCATAACAAGTGAATCTGTAGGCATGTCAAGTATACCCAATTCATTCTGCTGTCAAAAGAGTTTGCACATATTCATTTTTATGCCTTCTATGCTGAGGTAAATACCCATAAGAAAGAATCTTTCAAGATCTTGAGTTTACGCTTGTGACATGTGCTGAAGGTTGTGTAACTAACTATTGTGAAGAATAGACCTAAACAACACAAGTTTATTTTTGAATTTTCTTGTCTTTCCGTGCATTGTTCACTTTACTTTCTTAAGTAACTATTCCAATCATGTGCACTTGTTTTCTTCTTGTTCCTTGTGTTATTTTTTTGGTTTAGATTGAATCATACTTTTGACATCTTTAGAAAGCAAGTAGAAATCCATGCTTGCATCTGATTGTTGGCATTTTAAAGTCACTGAAATATTTGTGGCAGTAGAAAGCCTTAAACTTCATTTTGCATGTCAATTCAAAGCTATTTTCTTCATAACAGTTCCTGCTTCAAAGCTATTTTCTTCATAACAGTTCCCGCAACAACACCCACCCCCCCCCCACCCCCGGGCGGGTGTTTGGTAAAGTCTATTTTTAGTCATCTTTGCATGGAAAGTATGGGAGATCAAGCCTATCTTCTATACAAACTAGTTTTTTTCTCTCTGAATTAAAATGAGCTGGATCCTGGACTGCAACACTTTCGATTTCCAAACAGACAAGCGTCATATGCTTTAACTAAATCTTAATATATTCCTTAAGTCTTACCAACATATTTTGAGTAGGTTTTCATGGATGGTTATTCATGATTCTGTATGATTGGGAAGCACCAATGTTGCAGCTGGTTTATAGCTTTAAAACACGTCTTTTAATTTTGGCAACCATATTTTATTGTTTATACATGGTCACCTATATGCAAGTATGATTAACAAGTGTCACACCTTGCAGCTCATTGGCACCCCATCAGAGGCTGAATTTGGGTTTTTGAATGAAAATGCAAAGAGATACATTAGGCAACTTCCACCTTTCCATCGGCAGTCATTGACTGAAAAGTTTCCACATGTCCACCCTGCAGCTATTGACCTTGTTGAGAAGATGTTAACATTTGATCCTAGACAGAGAATTACAGGTGAGTTTTTCAAGCCCCCACCAAATGGTCTAATTCTAATAGTCATTGCCTGCTACGAAACACGGACATGGACACTGGTTCAGACACATGACACAACAATTTTCAAAAAATCTATAGTTACATATTATTATTTTTCTATGTATATGAATATAACTTTAGGCACAAAGATATGAAAGTCATTGATGTATATAGAGGTATATTTGTTTTTTTCCACTTTCCACTTTTTATTTTCATATATTTTAATTTGATCCCGAATTAACTTACTAAAAAATATAATAAAAAAACCCACAAAGGTGTCTTAAAGCGCTCTGATACATGACATGCATGTTTGTAAAGTGTTCCCAATGTGTCCAGCAAAAAAAATGACATGGCACAACATATCTGACACGTTGACATACATATCTGCTCTATGTCAGTCTTACCAATCTCTAGGCAACGGAACCAAAGACATGAAGTAGGAAGATTAGCTGAAGTACTTTTTTATAACCGTAACTTTCCCTCCTTTGGATAAATATTGACGCTTCCATCCTGCAAGCCTCTTTCCAAACCGCTCCACAATACAATCCCATACTGGTATCGCCTTATAATCTGAACCAAGCTGGAGACCCAAATCCACCATGGGTAAAGAACCCACCCTAAAACCCAAAGAATTAGCCAAGCCTTGGATGTTCTGGACCTCCCCCCACTAAGATAAACCATGCTCTTCCCGATATATACTTTTGATTCTGACACTGCCTCAAAACAAATGAAAAACATTGTAAATTTCTCGGCTGCTCTTAAAAGAAGACAATTGTATCATCATCAAACAAAATGTGAGATCGCTGCCACTACCCTTTCCCCACTTCTGAGCCCAAAACATGAGATCATCCCCCCTTGCACTGCCCTGCTAATCATCCTGCTCAAAGCTTCCATGACCAAGATGTATAGGGGGATAGAACTGCTGATGGAGAGCCATTCATCTTATGCTCAGAGACCTTTACAATGTCCAACTTACATATGACCACAGATCCGGATAAAACTGCCGGATATGCTTTACGCATTTTTCCAACTTGAAACTCTAAACCACTTGTCCTTCAACCATTATGGATTCGGGTTCTGTTCACAGCACCCACACCCAAAGCATTCCTTCTGTATTGTTCTTTTAATCTAAATGACTTGCCAAACACTACCTTCTTGTTACCCCTATAGAAACCTTAACAAAAGCCAAAATTTAACCAACCCTCCAGCCCTAAAACCCTGCACTGCTGCTCCTGCAATCATTTTGGGCTCATCACTAGTAGTTGTGTATTCCCCACATTCATTCTACACTAAGATGTGCAAAATGCAATCCCTAAGTTCAGAAGACCAACCGTTTTTTGTAGTTTCTGACCTCCTAATTCAACTGTTTTTAGTTTCACTGTTTTTCTTTATCCTGGTAAGTATTTCCTAATTTAACATTTTAAAGTTGTTAAGTTCATGCATTTTCATTATCCTGTCATCCAGTTATCACTTCTCAATTTCTGTTTCGGATCCATAAATTATTTTTAATCCGTTCCTGTGGCTTTGGCTTTGGTTTCGGTTTTGGTTTCAGTGGAGGGTGCACTCGCACATCCCTACTTGACATCACTACATGACATCAGTGATGAGCCTATCTGCTTGACTCCTTTCAGCTTTGACTTTGAGAATCACGCCCTGTCTGAGGAACAGATGAAGGAGCTGATTTACAGAGAGGCACTTGCATTTAACCCGGAGTATCAGCAGATCATGTGAAAGAGCCATAATATGCTACTTTTGCTTATTGTGATTTTGACCAGTGTGGGTGTCCCATGTTTTTATATAATTTAGCGAGTTACATCTTCATGTATATATATTGTTCCATCCAAAACATGGATAGCTCTCAAACTGAAATTTGTGATTATGGGCTTACCGCATACTGTCTGTCAGTTCTGGAAGCCTGAAACAACTGATATGCTATTTGTATGGGGTATTTTTATTTTTATTAGCTGAGAACCGCTGATGATTGGATCTTGCCCTCTTTGGGGTGTGGGTGTGTCTGACTTGTGGGGATATTATTTTTGCTTCCAGTTAATAATAGTGTTTGTAAGTTCTATTTAATTATTTTGCATATGCAGATTTTGGCAGTAGAAGCTCTATATTGAACACTCGGAAAAACAGAGTCTGAAGTGTTTTAGGGATGATAAAAAGATATTATAATGAAACTCAGTACAATCCTATATAGAGGCTCCACGAAATTTGATTCCAAAATGACTCTGTCGAAGCCTTTCCTGATGGCCAGTAGTAGCTCTAAAACTAATGTTTTACAGCAACCAATCATATAGCCTCAAAATGTTGATCTTGAACGAAAAAATTGAAGATTTTTACTGGCTAAGACTGGCCCCATCCAAAGGGGTCGTCAGTTTTGATGTACTGTTCTTTGCATATATAATTTTTTGAAGGGATTTCATGATTAGGTAATAGAATATGGTGTGGACATAGCAAACCTCCTAAATCGCTTTGTTTGACACTGTCCCTTCTCCACTAGAAGAAGGTAAATAATCACGTACAGCAAATGAATCAAACAGAGGGGAAACTTTTTCTTCTCAAAAAGTGAAGTGTGATTCCTTGAAATTATACCATCAGTCCATTGCTTCAATAGAAGCAAGAAAAAGGCCCCATCACTATTTAATGGGGATTTGTCAACTAAACAGTCCTATCTAGCCAACCATAATAAAATCTTACATCTAGGCAAGCACCCATTTTTTCTGAATCTCGCATTATCAACACGAGCACCCGCTCACCACCAACACCTTTATTAAGCAAATCTCAACCTCTCGCAACAACTGTGCAATGTGCACAAAAATGTACACAAACATCGTTTCTGTATTACGCTCCAAGATATTAGAGATGCTTCAGCGGCACCCAACGATATATCCCACATCGGGGAGGGGAGCATTACAGATGATACTAATGGCTCCTTCGCAAATTTAGGAGCCATAAAAATAATTTGTAGATTTTCTGAAATTCAACTCTGCCATACACCGAACAAAATCGCTCCATTGAGAGAGGGAGAGATTCTCCAGTGAGATAATCTACCAATTTAGTCTACAAGCTGCCAGATATCAGTCTTTACACTGAAGGACTTCTTCCATGCTATTCTAAGATACAGTACAGAAAAATATTCTTTTTAGGGGGGAAAAAATAACTGTAACATAATCAGAGCTTATCAATGTTAGCGAAGAAACTGCAAGAACAAATGCCAAAGGTGATTTAAGAAAAAAACCACCACTTCATCTTGCATTTTTGGGAGGAGGGAGGACTGAAAAGTACAACTGCCATCAAGAAAACATCAACTCTTGAGGTTCCCAAAGAATCTAGAAAGTGGCAAAGGCCCTTCAGTTTCTTCTTCATCACAACTTCTAGAGTTCTTGGATCTTGACCTATGCTTCTTTTCCTTCTTCCTTTTCTTAGACCTTGATTTTGATTTTCTCGATTCTCTGTCCTTATCATCACTGCTTGAAGATTCTGAGGAGGAACTTGATGAACTAGAATCAGAAGATCGCCTTGAACGCTGCAAAGGGAAAGTTACAATGCAAGTCCAGATTACATTCTTAATTCTAGTAACAAAAAGAATAAAGAAAAGAAAGACGGCAGTTAAAAACTGGCATTTCTTAATTTTTGTCAAGTAACGCAAAAGAACTGGACAGCTACTACATAACCACGTAAAAAAAAGAGCATATTTTCTAAAAACCAACTAAAATGTTCAAAAGAAAACCACTTCGACTTGTGCTCACCTGCTAACAAATATAATTGAATTCCAATGAACTGCTGCTAAACACAATTGAATTCCAAATATGTCATTTTTAGTTCATTAAGTCATAGTAACAAATACAATTAATTCCAAAATATTTGTTGTATTTATAGTGATAAATCCGAAATGGTACACCAAAATGCACCTGTACCTGTATGTATGTACCATTCCAATAGTAGAAACGGCACACTAGCTGGTAAGGGATTGACAACATTGCCTGTGATAGAACAGCCTAAATCTTATCTCACCTAAAAAACAATTGCATCTCTGTCCTAGTAGGGACACACTGCCTTGCCCAAACTGTGGGTTCATTGCATCCCCTAGCCTACTGACAATGAGATTACTTCATTTCAACTGGAGGTTCACAAAACCATTCACAACAAAGATACTAATTAATTTTGGGTGGCATTCCTTAGGTTACTGGGTGCCCTTTTTTATATGTTTCCCTAGAATAGAAAAGGCTAGGAAAACAAATCTAAATAGCACAAGGATTTGAATGCACCTTTCTCTTTTTGCTGCTGCGTTTCTTCAAATCCTTGTCCTTATCTGCAAGAATACATTTTATCATCAGAAGAGTAGTAATGTACAACATTTGGAAGGGAGGGGGAAAAAATCAACTTTTTCCATCAAGATTTTTCTATAAATACCCTTTTTGCGATTAGATTTACTACTCGAGTGATTTCGTCCTTTGGCAAGCTTGATAGCCCTTTCAGCATCTAGCTGAGCCCTGTACTGTCTCATCATTCTGTCTTTATCAGCTTCTAACTCCCCCTTTCTCATTTCATCTTCCTAACAAACGAAGTCCACGACCAATTGTAATAAATATCGTAAGATTGAAGCTTCGTTGAAGTACACACCAAAATTAAAGCAGAAAAACGTAGTGTGTTGTCCAAAGCAATGTGTAGAAACTTGCAGCGAGAGAAATACAAATGCCAGTGCCACAAAGTTACTCAAGAAAGTATAAGACAAACTAACATTCAAGAAAAAGAGAACATGAGAAATTGTTTTCAGATACTACTTGTTTGGATGAGGTTGGCAACATTGATGGTTAATTACACTCATGAAATAAAAAGAAAAATGATTACTATAAGTCACATCAAGTACAGACAGCCAAACTGTTCATGGAGTTTCACATCAAGCACTGCTAGAATATTTAATTGGGTGGACAGAAGAACCTGGTATTGGTTGAACACAGAAACTTTCATGGATCAAACCTCATCTTCAGATTGGGTGCATGTCTAGGCTAAATAGCATAACAGAGACCAATCATCTCCAGATGCATCTAGTAGTAATAACACAGTTCATTCCATCACATAACTCATGATTATAGTTTGATCTCATTCCAATAAAATATTTTGAAATAGACATTGTCAGCCAAAGTTTATCAGACATGGGGCATGACATCACCTTATCAGAATGCCGGTGCCAGTGGGTCACAGGTTCAACTATTGGGTCTTGCACAGGAAGGAGAAAACTATGGCTGTATATTACTAACAAAATATAAATAAATTAATGAAAAACTTGAGAAGATGCTATTGCTTTGCTTAATTCTCTTTAAGATTGATAGATTCAACAATTTGAGCTAATCATGCACGTGCATATGTATTCCTGACCAATTAGATGAAAATATAAATATATTAAATCATTTTTTGTTAACAATTAACTCCTCTAAAAGTGTAAGCCATTAAAGAAAGGTGTATTATATGGTTCTAAATTGTATTATATGGTTCTAAATTGTATTATCGGGATCCGAAGTGGTACAGTTAAAATCATTAATAATCCAATGACATGTATTTTTTACTCTTTTAAGCTTAATTGTCACATTTTTTTTACTCATTTTGATGCATTAATCAGTTCTATGGCTGATCAAATAATTCCACTCCATGAAACATCTTAAGGGAGACTTACGTATAGATCCTAATAGGTGAACTTATTTACCAATAAGTCCTATGATAATTAATGGCGTTTTTCATCAAGCACTATTAAAAAAGTCACTAATTGTTAATTTCCAGCGATAGTTTGAAAATTGTCACAAAAAAACAAAAAATGTCACTAATTATAATTTTTAACGACGGTTTAAAAATTGTCATAAACAAAGTCATTAGTTTTCAACTTTCAGCAACAATTTAAAAAATTCGTTCCAAAAAAAAGGTCACTAATTGTAAGTTTTTGTTTTAGTGACAATTTATAAAAATCGTGACAAAAAAAAAATCACTAATTGTCAATTTTTAGCGACATTGATATATATAAAAAATCGTCACAAAAAATTATTTTTAGTGACAATTTGATTAGAACTTATTTTCAATAGAACTTGATGAGAATTAAATCCAACTATGTTTACCCACATCTTCTCTTCTTTTAATGTCACTAATGTTTTTCTTATCTCCTGTTAAAATAAGTACCTCACCAAGGGAATCTGGAGACACCAATACAGTTGGTTGATGATGTTTATATAGCAAGAATCTTCAATGAGTAAAGTGGGACTAAAATAACCGCCAATAATATAAATGTTTTTCACATGAAAGGAATGGGTATTTTTTATGCATTTCAAGAGCCTATCCCAAAGCCCCAATAAATGGAACTTCCAAAGCTAAAAAAAAAGTGCCTGCATTGGTTGTATAAACTTTCCTTATCAATTTCCATTTTCTATATTAACTCACAAGTAGCCTCATCGTGTAAATCTTTTTTTGGAAAGTAGCATCATGTAAATCTGCTAATAGAATTTTGAGATTCCCTTTCATTCTTTTCCACTTCTTTTCTTTTCTTTTTTTTCTTTTCTTTTTTTTTTGGTAAGTAACTCTCATTGTTTTTCAAATCATTCACGTTCCTTTGCAAAATGGCCAAATAATATCTCCAAAACTGTTAAGAATCCAATAATCCAGATCCCAACAAGTTGCAAACTAAAATGTCAAATTTCATTTTACAACTACCATGACATAAGCTTGCTAGAAAGTAGTTAGAGAAAAGAAAAGGAAATTAAAAAAATTGTGTACATTTTTCCATGAATAGTTCAGAGATTAGGCAACAGCATTAATGCTGAAGAAGAAGAAGAAGAAGAAGAAGTGCATAGATATCAGCATAACAGTTTACCTTTTGCTTCTTTTTATACTCTTCCCAAGTAATTGTGTGAGAAGTGTTGAGGCTGGCCAAACGAGCAGCGTGCCACTCTGGTGAATGAAAAGAACCATCCACCTGTGACAGTCCTCATCAGAAAAAGTACAGCAAACAAAGCATCTAGGCTATGACTGTATTAGTTATCCAATTAAATTGCCTGATGCTGTAGAACTAGCAGTTATGAGGAGATGGCAACAAAATAGGAGCATCAAACATAACTTAAATGCTTGACAAGATAATATATTGCTCCAAAACAGAGAGACACATTTTTTAGGAAGAAAACACTAGCTCCAATCACAAAGGGCAAAAGATGGCAAGAAATAATTAACCAATAATGGAAGTCACCAGTACAATACCTATATTTAGATTAGCGAGGTAACCCAAAAATAAAAATAATTATAAAAATAAACCAAGAAAGATAGTGTTGAGGTTTGTAGTACTCTACAGATCTTGTCTCAGATTAAAAAAGTAAACAAACAGCTAACAGCAATTAACTAGTTTTTTCTCTTATTGTAGCAATGCTACAAGTAGCCATGGTTTATAGGACCCTATAACAACTGATTTGTTTGTCAATGAATTGTGAGGTCGATTTCTTGGGCAGTGTTATTAAAGGCGACAAGCGTACTACGGCGCCAAGGTCTCCTGAGGCCTAGGCCAAAGGCACAAGGTGAGGTGTAGGCTTCATCGAAATGAGGCGCACCTTGTACAGAAAAAAATATATAATTTTAAATACGTAAGCAATTTAGGGTCAACATAAACAAATTGAAATGTTAAACATTTAGTGTTTTTTGGAGTTTATGAATTAGGACTAATTTTTCTTTTATCATTGGTTTGGGGTTGAATGCCCAATGTATTGACATCTATAATAAGAGTAGAGATCTTCTGTAGCCACACCATATAAAATCAATGGTCAGATTTTAAACAAAACTAATTAAAGTAACAATAAAAAAAACCCTCAAGACGTAAGCCTTGGGCCAGTCAGGCGCCTTATCAAAGTCGTCTGGGTTGGAACACTACAAGGCGCAAACCTTGAGCCTAGACAGGACTTGGGCCTAGGCGCATGCCTAGCCGCGCCTTATTGAAGTCACTTGGCTTGGAACACTACAAGGCGTAAACGTTGGGCCTGGATGGGCCTAGGCGCACACGTAGGCGCGCCTTTAATAACACTATTCTTGGGAATGCTATCAATAAGCTCCAATATTCAATTAATAAAAATACAAGGATATGGGTCCCCTACCAGGTAAATTTGATTACAAGTACAAAATTATAGTGGCACTATCCTGTGGTTTTGTATTCAGCCCCCTGAATTTCTTCATAGAAGCAAGATATAAAATAAACTCAAGGCATACATGGATGTAGTGTGAATATGATTACGTGTACACGATGATAATTTAAGAAGTTGTGGACACAAAAGTTCTAAGACTACAATATCCGGATGGTGACATGGAAAATTGTCAAGATTGGGATGCAGCACAACGGAAATACAAACACAAGTGAGCACAATTAGACTCGTGCACACGTTTTCCTCCTCCCTTCATTGTCTGATCCTCCACACTACTATATATGATACTTGAACCAAATATCCATGCCCAGCTTGTCAGCTAAAGGTTGACTGGTATGGGTATCTTGAAAACCAAATGCAAATTATTATTATAAAAATTAAAAATTAAAAATAAATGATGAAATTCAAGACACAGCTAGGATATGTCCAACATATACATGTCTAAAGCATCTCTTGAACAAAGCAAGACCGTAATGGACTTGATAACTGAAAAAAAAAATGCATCCATTGATGATAAGGGGTGTGTGTGTGTGTAGGGGAGGAGGATCTAGCATTAAGAGATCCAAGTTCATTTTGATTTTTCATTCAACATTGATGGCAAAGGTTCTTTAATTCTAAAAATTATTGATAGGGGCTCTCAATGAAGCACGGGTGCGGGTACGAGTACGGTACGGGTGCGGGTGCGGGTACACCGATACGGCAAAACTCAAAAAAAGTATGATACGGGTACGGCTACGGTACGCCGATATATATATATTTTTATATAATTATGGTTAAAGGGTTCAACCTACAAATTAAAATTAAATATCAAAACTAAAAAGATAATTACTCATTTTCCTATAATTTAAAATCATTAAGCATTAAAAATAATATTTGTGAAATCTCTCACTTTGACATGTTACGAACTGTGAATTTGTGATCATAATTTATTTTTAAAATCTTTCTTTTTGCTCATCAATTTGTGATCATAATTTATTATCTTTCTTTTAAGTAGAAAGATAATAAACGGCTTACAAGGATAAAATGGTAAAGAAGAAAAGAGTTTGTAGTTATAAGAGTAATATGAAAAAGGGAAGGAGAAAAACATCCTCTAGAAAGGAAAGGAAATTGAAAAAGCCTTCAATGCTCAGACAATTACAATAACTACAAGAAGAGTAAGCTTTCTTTGCGGCAAATCGATTAGAAGGAAAATGATAGGTGTTCAATATGGATAGTAGGGAGTTGTCTCATCTATAGGGCTTTAACAGTCCCATTTTGGAGGACATACCAAAAAAATCCTGTTTACCATTTTCTTTATTTTCATGGATGAGTTCAGGTAATTCAAGAAAAAATACCTGAAAATCAAATCTACTGTTGTTATTGGTAAAGCCAGTGGTGACTAGTTAGTGACAAATGAAAATTGATGACAAATGTTGAAAAAACACATTTTGTAAAGTTGGTGCGTTATTGTGTTTCAATTGTTGGGTGTGGTGGGTTTTTCTGGATAGTGGGAGTTGGGTTTATCTTTGTTCTTTCATTTTTTCTTTTCTTTATATTTGACAGTATATAAGGGTTGTGCCCCGTGGACACATTCTCTAAGACAATTTCTTTGTGATAACATTCCTTGTATAAATTTTGACCACCACACAACTTGAAATCAAAGTAAAACGAGTATGGTACACTTATCAGAGCTAGCAAAATGACCAATTATACTGACAGCAACAACTACAATAAACCATTCCTCATCACATGTACTTCAAAAATCGCTTCTTCAAAGATCTTTAAGGTGAAATTGGATCCATCAAGATATTTGAGCCAACAAACTCAAGATTTGCAAAGATTTTATTTTTATTTTTTAAAGGTTTATAAATTTGAAAGAATCAATCAGATCTTGAATAGCTTCTAACTATGAAACCTGCCTTGAAGTACACACATAGAAGACTAACATTACATGGCTTACCCATCAACAACAAAAAATTCACTGAGCACCAACAAATAAGAAAATACAACACAAAACAATTACCAATAATCAAGATAATGAAAGAAGATTAAGAGGGTAAGAAATTGAAATGGAAAGAAATGGTAGTATGAAAGGGTACAAACCATGCCGTCCTCGATCTCCTCATGGCCAGTTGAGCTCGCACCCAGCCTCGCTTTCTGCATAGCTTTGTATTGTTGGTTTTTCCCCATGTTTGGGAGGAAAGAAGAGGGATATGGGTCCCCTACCAGGTAAATTTGATTACGAGTACAAAATGCGAAAAAGAGAGAATTTTTTTCAAATTGGATTATCGGATTAGCGAGCGACGACTCGATGGAGAGAGAGTGAGAGAGAGAGAGGGTGAGGATTTATAGGTTGGGATTTCGGGGGCAATGAAGAGCTAATTGTTGAGAGAGAGAGAGAGAGAGAGAGAGAGATCGGGAAGTCAAAATAGGCAAAGGTTGAAGTCGTGCGGTTGGCTTTATTGGAGCTTTTATGTGTTCTATTTCCATGTTTTTATTAGTTTTTTCTGCAAAAATTAAATTATTTTGATAATTATAATAACCTTGTTTGGTTTATTCATTTTTTAAAAAAATAAATTTTTTATTTTTTACTTTCAATAATTTTTTTTATTATTTTAAGCAATTTATTTAAATTTTTAGATACCCTCAATATAAATATAATTAAAAAGTATAATATTTGTAAAAAAAAAAAATTAAAAAATTTACTAAATATCAAAAATATAAAAATCTGCTAATTTTCGTATTTTTATAGATTTATTATTATTTTTAAATATTTTTTATAAATATTTTACATTTTAGATCTATTTAGGTTAGATATATTTAAAAAGTAAAAAGATTATTTAAAATGTTAAAAAAAATTGCTAAAAACAAAAAATAATAATAATAATAATTTTTAAAAAATAAATCAAATCAAACAAGGTGATTGATATTATTTTTTTTGGGGGGTTTATTTTTTTAAAATAGATAAATATGATTTGAAAATAAATTATTCAAGATAAATTTGATAATTATATGATTATGTGATTGGGTGTTCAACAAAAAGACTCACAATGATTTACTTAGATCACTTGATATATGGTCGTCACGACTTGATGATTGGATCGTTCAATTAATAATTGTTTAGAATTTGATTTGTTTTAATAATTTTTTTATTTTTTATAAAAAGACATATAAAATATATAATTAAAAAAAAAGAAAAATTACTTGATAAATCTCATACACAAAATTCAAAACTCCCCTAATTCTAAAATAAAATACTTGCACTAATTAGTTTTACATATTTTTAATGGACAAATTACCTTTTTGCAAAGTGTGTATTTTATTTAATCCCAAAATCTTTTAGATGGATCTAAAAGTTATATGTCCATTTATCTTCTCCTTGTTTTCTATACCTTACTTCTTCTATTTATCTCTCTTTCTCTTATATCGGCGACGATCACGACTACGCATTCCTTCTTTTCTTTCTCTTTCTACTCTACAGTCACCAGCGATCATCATTGATTGGGATTTATCAACAACCACCGAGCACCAACTCCTTACTTCGTGCTCACCGACAGCAAAAAAGATGAGTTTTCGACGAAAAAAATGAGTAGATCTACTCTTATCTGATATAGATCTACTCAGATCTACATCAAATCTGAGGAGATCTACGTTAGAGCCAGTTAGATTTAAACTAAAAAATAATTGCCAGAGTACAAGCATCTCTCTATATCTGTCTCTTTCCTTCGATCTCTCAGTTTTTTTAGTTTTTCTATACTACACACTTCTATTTTTCTGTTATAATGGAGAAAATTTTCAAATTCTAAACAAATTATTTTCGAGTTTTAGTTACAGACGGTAAAAATTATAAAATTTTACAGCTTCAGTTTTTTTTATACTAAAATAAATCATTCTTTAGAATTGTAAAATTTTGTAATTTCATAACTTTCTTTAATAACATGTTTTTTCAATTTCATTAATAAGGATAAATACTTAATAGAATCATACTTTGAAACAATAACATTATAACAACAAGCATAACGTAGCGAAAAAATATTATCAGATCATACCTTAGGTGATAAAACCGTAAGCGAAGAATCTTGTGGGTAAATCACATGCTTCAAGAATGCGAACAACGAACCCAGCAGTGAAGTGATACTACAATATGAGTATTACCCACACAAGTCACAGTATAGAGACTGGATCGTTCTCATATGGGAGAGAGTTAGAGAGAGAGTCTATGAAAAAAGGTTATGGGTAAAAAACCACATAATGTATATGATATCAATATATAACTTAACCATATAATCTGATATATAACCATATATATCAATTTATCCATATCAGTTGATATGATAGATATATAGATATAGATATCATGAGTGGTTATCCAAATAAGTTTTGAATTCAAATTCAAATTCAAACTTACTTGGATAAGGTTCAAAGGGTCATGCCACATGGGCACCCAATTTCTAACATCTCCCACTCGCATATGAGTTGGCATAACACTGTCGCATCTCTATCTCAATCTACCCAAAAATGAACAATCTCATACTAGCCAATGTACCGTGCAACCGTTGAGAAACACCTGCATATGGGAGCTCTATACTAGAAACGCAAAATGAGTCAGCATAGAAACATCAACCCAAAAAGAATAGAAATAGTATCTCATATACCCCAGACCCATCTAATTACACCAGTCCAAAAAACATTTCTAATCCCTCAAAAGAGCATGTTTGACCCTCTCAATTCTTGCAATATATTCACACTCAATCTGCCTCTTATACAGAGCGATGTGAGTTGCCGGCAATGAATATACAACAGTGGTGTAATACTAGATGATCTTCCTTTTGCCCTCATGCCATTTAGTTTAGGATTGACCGCTTTCCCAGTGATGTACCTTAAGACCGAATCATACATGACCACAGGCAACATACCAAAGTAGCAGAACATCAACCCCTTACCTTATGACATAGTCAAAAGTCACAAAATGGTACATAAATGAAAGTCATATCAATAATGACACGTAAGACTCACACAGTGAGGAAATAGGGATCCATTCTCTCACCTCATTACTCGGTCGCCAAGCATATGTAGTATGAATACATGTTACGGTGGAGTAACTCTTCCAAAAGAGTGACGTCATACTCGATACACCGTACAGATCTTAGTCTAGTCGCTTTCTAGCGCCTAACCCGAATTCTCTATTTGCTCGCCTTCCAGACGCCAAATGAGATCTTGCATTTGCCTAATCATAACATGCACAACATGGAAAGTGGGTACTAACATCCATGTTTGGTCCTTAACACGACCTCATCTTGGTTGTATCCAAGGCGACATACATAGTGGATAATTTAAGCCTTTCTTGGCTCTAAATAAAAAATAAACCAGTAGTCTCAACCTTGCTCTCTCCCAAGCGCCAAGGGCGATTGCTCGTGTGAGTGAGCCAATCATGCCTGTTGACATCATCATCTGTTAATCATTATAACACAAACCATAATAGTGTCAACATCCCATCATCTCATAACAAATAAGTGATCGATTTTAAAAAAAATGACCACAGCTTATGCAATTCTATATTCCGAACATAAGCCTTATCAGCACCTCTTGCGGTAAGTATATACAACGGAATCCACCATGTGCACCTTACATGAAGTGATTCAAGATCACTACCTCTTGTGCAATAACCTCTCTAAAGATATTTTGTTGACTAATTTGCGTTCATTTTGGATGCGCCCAACTAACGCATTGAATCTTACAAGGGGCAAATTTATATACTACTAGTAAAGTATTCTATCCACAGTCTAATGAGCAAGGTCAATATCTAAACAACTTAGTTGACCATTTACCAAAGATAACACTTATCATGCCGAATACGCCCACATAGCATACTTTAGGTTCCCACAACAAAAAAAATAAGGAATATAGGTCATTTGTTTCTCCCAAAGACAATCCAAGGATTCACTCAATAGCTAAGGCTCTGACTTTTTCCGATAGGTAAGTCAATGGATTTGCAATTTTGCATCTAGAATTATTCTAGGATATTCCTTATGTAAGTCATCAAAGACAAACCTAGAATTCTCCCAAAATAATCCCCATAAGGATCGTACATCCGAGCATATAAATTACATCACCCATGTCCATCATATCTAAAACAGAGAACTGCCCACCCTAGGTGGCGACAACCTTATAAATTCCTGGCTCATAATGACTAAGTAAGGAAAAACTTCTTTTGGACCATTGATCATGCCTTAGTGATCTTCATCGATCATCGTTGGCCCATCATGGCTTGACGAAATCTAAGAACCACTATTTGGATAACTGTTTTAGGCTGTAAAAGATTTATTGGAACTAGCAACCTTTTGCGCTCCCAACTTTTCTCTATAAAAGCAGAAGGTAAATCCCTACGGATCTACTTATCCAATTCTCCAATGAGAAGTTGGGTCACAATGTCCACAAATCAATGTTCCGAACTTATGTCAATCATAGCCTAAGTTGAAATAACCTCACTCCCCAAGAGAAAGTCTTCTCTTGGCCTACACCTTTCTCAATAATGCGACTTTTAAGTATCTAGCGAGCCTTATGCCTCAACAACGACTATCAAATTACGCATAACTTTAGAATAGTTTTGCGTCATAATGAAAAGTCAACCAAATTATAGAAATGGTTAATCCTCAAAGACTTTGTCTTAAACTGTGCAATATTGATCCACTTTCTAAAAACGGGGGACTAGAGCCTTTGGCATTATCCTAGGCTCTTTATCACCTTGCGGAGCAATCATGAATGTTTTCTTCTCAATCACCCAGTGATGAGGTGGGAAATTTTCACATTTGCTACCACGCAACAAAGAATGTAGAGTACTCTTCTCTAATGGAGTAATCTACTAGTAGGCACATCGCTCCCACTGTCCCTAGGATATTATAAATTTCTCTCCATTCTTAACTAGATTACATAAAACGCTATGCTTAGAATTCTCTATCTTATAGAGTTCCAAAACTCTATTCAGGTCACCTTTACTAAAAAAACTTTATGTGACTTAATTACACTACCACAAAGTTGCTTACCTATATGCACATGACCCGGAGGGTTTACATGACAGCATACAATAATGCGCCACATGACTCTATGTGTTTACAAGACAGCATACAATAATACGCTATAGAACCCTAGGTCTTAACTTCGCAACCTTATGAGAAGTAAAATAAAGATAAGCTGCTTAACAGTTA